ACAGGACCAACTCCTGCCTATCCAGAAACTGGTTTGGTTTTTGGCGCCAGTTTAGGCTCATTTATTGGTGGATGGGTCCGTAATCATTATCCAATTCCACAAAGTATTATTGAAATTTCGACCAACTCCATCGCCGTTTCACTTCAATCAAGTCCAATCATTTTAAATATTGTTCGTATCGTTTTGGGTCTTGTTATCGTTGGTTTGGCAAAGGTTCTATCAAAGAAATTCTTTTTCTTTGCATATGATCTTGCCTATAGAGCAAATACAAATAATGATCAATCTCAACCAATTACAGCCGTTTCTTTTGACCCAAATAAAAAATTAGTTGTCACTCCAATGATTGAAGCCTACTCAAAACTTTTTGTTTACTCTATGGTCAGTTTTTCAATTTGTTACATTGCACCATATATTTTTTATTTATTAAACATACAAACCCCAATCGATTTATCAACTCTTGTTTAAATCAAATAGTAATATAATAATATAGTAAATAATAATAATAATAATAATAATAAGAATAATATTAATAATAAGAATAATATTAATAATATAGTTTTAAAAACAAAACAACCAACAATATTTAAACTTTTTAATTTTTAAAAAAAAAAACTTTCAAAAAAAAATAAAAAAAATGTTTGTACAAATATCTTTTTAAAAATATATCTTATTTTTTTTTTTTTATCTTTAAACAAATTTATTCATCTTTCATTCTATTCTTTTTTTTTATTTATTTATTTTTTTTTATTTTTTTTTTTTATTTTTTTTTTTTTTAATTTTTTTTTTTAATTTTTTTTTAAATTTTTTTCATTTTTTTTTAAAATTTTTTTTATTTCATATATAACAATAAAACAGATACATCAAAATGATTGGTCAATTAATTAAAAAATCAACTGGTATCACTGGTTTAAAAGTTCAACCCCAAGCTAGACAAATTTTATCAGAATTATATAACCAAACATTAACAAAATTACAAATCATTCCAACAGAATCAGCATACAGAAGAGATATTGAATCAATGACCAGATTTAGATTAAATGTTGTACAAAAAGAAACTGATATCATTAAAATCGAAAATACCATCTATGGTGGTCAAGTCGAAGAATTAATTGAACAAGCCAAAAACGAATTAAAAGTTATTGATGTTGTTCATAAATCAAGAGCTTGGGAATCTGATAAAAATAAACCAACTGTTGTCCTTTATTCAAAATTTTAAAATAATAAAGTAAAATAAACAATAAGCAACATGGATAATAATAATAATAATAACAATAACAATAAATAAAACCTTTTTAAATAATATGCATTAATACACCAAAACAACACCTTTTACAATCAAAACATAAATCAAATACTGTTAATAATCGATTAAAAAAAAAATAAAAAAATAAAAAATAAAAGGATTATAACTTCTTTTTTTTTTTTGTATACAAATAAATCATCGTTTAGTTTTATTTTTATTGTAAATAGACTTGGATGGTAATTGATTGTGGTAATAAAGAGATTAAATAAAAGAGGATAGATGAAAAAGATTTTATTTTATTGTTATTACATCTAAAAGATAACGATGATCTAAAAACTTTGATCTTTTTGAAAATAATAATATTAAACAAAATTAAGGTTTATTTACAAAAATTTAAATTGTATTTAAATTTGATAATTTTTAAAAAAAAGATTTATATGAATAATTTAACTGTCGTAATCGTATTTTGGTATTGGTCTTTGCGGGATTTGTGACTCAATGTTTGTTATATTTTCTCCATTATTTGATTTTTCTGTGTTTGGATAGAATTCTAATAGAAAAGACAAGAAAATAAGTTTTTCAAATTATTAGTTATTTTAAATTTTTGGTTTTTTTTTTTTAAAAAAGGTTATATTTACTTTCTTGGTTCCTGTCAAGAAGATCGTAATAGGCTGCTTTTGGATCATTGCCTGTTTCGATGTTTTCTGGTGGTGATGCGGTATTACTTTCATTATTATCATTATTGTTTTCATTTTGGTCATTGTTCGCTATATATTGACCATTACCATTATTTATGTGTTGGTTGTTGTTATTATTGTTGTAATGATCATTGGGTCTATTGGGGTATGGATTATTACCTTCATAGTTTGGATTATTTGGACCATTATTAAAGTGTTGGTTGTTATTGTAGTTTGGATTTTTATTAAATGGTAAACCGCCGCCTCCATATGGGCTATTATTATTAAAGTTATTATTATATCTTGGTGGTCCTCTGTTATTAAGTTTTGAGCCTGCATTTGAGTGGCCAACTTTAACAGCTATACCTTCAATTAAGCCACCATTCATACCATTTATTGCTTTTTCTACAGATTCACTATCTTTAAAATTTACAAACGCAAAACTAAAAAAATAAAAAAAAATTAATACTAGGTTTAAATAAAACAACTAATAAAATCTGTGTTATCTTACCCTCTTTGTGGGAATATTCTAATTGAAACAATTTCGCCAAACTCTTTAAATGAATTTTGTAAATGAGGTTCTTGAATGGATTGTGTTAAATCACCAACAAAAATTGCGTTTTGATTATTTTGTTGAGCCATCCCATTGTTGTTATTATAATCTCTTGGTTGATATCCACCATGGTTGTTATTATTAAACCTGTTATTATTATATCTATTATAATTTCCCATTATTGTTATTCATATTATTATTCATATTACTATTCATATTATTGATTAATTGAATAATTACTATTCACTATATTATTATTGATATTGGTTTATTTCTGTTATTTAATTGGCATCATCAAATTTCACCACCATCTTCAACATTTGGAAGTCTGTTCTTAATTTTTTTAGTTGGTGTTTCCATATTTGCTGCTGATAAAAGATGTATTTGGATACTGATTTTTTGGGATTGTCGGTCTTTTAAATCCTGATGCCTTGGTTTCTGTTGTGGTTGAGTTGCATTCTAAACTCTAAAATTAATAAAAATAATATATTAATAAAATCAAACCAAAATAAAATTAAACAAAAAATTGTATTTTTAAAAAATAAAAAAATTTTTTTTTAAAAATTAGGATCTTATATAAATTTATAAATAAAATTTTTTACTTTTGCTAAAACTTTTTTTGCCTCTTCGATTTTCTTTTTTTGCTCTTCTTCTTTTTCTTTCCTTTCTTTTTCTCGTTTTTTTTCTATTTCTTCATATTTTTGCTTTAAAGATTTTTCTTTATCATCTAAAGAATTTGTTGATCCTTTTTTTACCATTTATTTGTTTATTTTAAACTCTATATCTTTATTATTACAATTATTTGTTATTATTTGTTATTTTTATTTGTTATTTGTTATTTGTTATTGCTGTTTTACCTATTTGAAAATATAAAAAAAAAAAACAATTTTTAAATTAATTATAAAAAAAAATTAAAAAAAAAAAAAAAATTAAAAAAAAATACAAAAAAAATTAACGGTTTTTTTTAAAATTATACACAATTACTTTTTTAAGATTTAATTTTAAGGGCTGTAATGTACCAAGATTTTTCGATATATCCACCAATCCTTTGATCATCTATAGGTTTTTTTATTTTTATTTATTTTTATAGTTTTGTATGATATTTATAAAATTTTAAATAAAAAAAAAAATAATGTGTGATTATTTGCAGTTTTTTTTTTTATTATTTTTTTTATTTTTGCTAATATGTGAATTGCTAAATTTAGGAAAAAATATTTCATATTATTTTAAATATTACAAAGTTTTATTTAGATTTTTGAAAGAAAAAAAAAAAGATTTTATGATTTTTTTTTTTATAAAATATATATGCATACTGTGGATAATTATTTTATTATTAATTAAAATTATTATTGGTTATTATTATTCATTATTATTGCTATTTTTGATATTTGGTATTTGGGGATCTTTAAAGGAAATATCTATAGTAAATTTAGATTAGTAAATCGTATTATTTTTATTATTATTTTAAAAATATTAAATACTTACTCAGGAGCTGGTTTTTTGGCTGGAGCACCTCTTGATTCCTGGGGAGCAGCTTCAAAAATAGCAAAGTTTTTCTTTAAATTTTCATCCAATTGTAAAATTGCGGCTACATTACCGCATCTATAGCAATAGTTTGGTGCAGACCATACAGTTACCAATGTTTCATTAAACATGTATTTATAACCTTCCATAACCAATTGATGCGCTCTACATATAAATTCTAAATTATTATCATAGTTAAACTTTTGAACTACATCTTCACCAAATAAGAAACCAGCACCACGAGGACTACCATTCCATCCTGGTATATCTTCTGGATCAGACCACATTAAATCACACATTGGACCTTCGTGTGGGACTTCTTGTTTTCTATCAATTGCTCTAATCTAAATAAAATTAAAAACAATTAATTGTGATGGTTAGTTGGTTTATTTGTTGGTAAAAAAAGTTATATGGTAGTTCTGGTACTTACTTGGTCTAAGGTATTAATAGATGGGGATAAACCACCATGAACACAAAAAATTTTACCATCAACAAGAGCAGAAAGTGAAAGATAATCGAAAATTTCGGTACAGTATTTCCAAACAGTAACAGAACCATATTTTCTAACACATTCTTCGTAGAAACCATATACTTGAGTGATTTGTCTTGACTCGTGGTTACCTCTAATTAATGTAATTCTATCTGGATATCTAACTTTTAATGCTAATAATAAAAGAAAAGTTTCAACACTATAGAACCCTCTATCAACAAAATCACCCATAAAAAGATAGTTGGTTTGTGGACAATCGCCACCAACTTTAAATAATTCTTTTAAATCGTAAAATTGACCATGAATATCACCACAAATCTAATATAAAAATTATTATAATTTATTAAAAATTTAATAATAAAAAAAAAATTAGAAAATGGTTAAAAAAAAACTATTGGGAGTGGTGTGTGATATTTTTTTTTTATTTTTTTTTTTGGGTGCGTTTTAGAAATTATCTTTTATATAGATATAAAAAAATTACATACGGTAACTGGTGAGTCAACTCTTTGAACATTTCCTTCTTCTAATAAAATTTCTCTTGCCTTTGAACAAAGTGCTCTAACTTCACTTTCCTTGATAATTTCGCATCTTTTAAGTTGCTCGATTTGTCTGTCTAAGTCTGATGACATTCTTTTATATATTTATCTTTTTTTAAAAAAAAATCTTTTTTCTTTATTTATTACAACAATTGGGGTTTTTTTTTTTTTTTTTGATTTAAATCTATTATTGGAATATGATTTAATATTTTGTTATTATTATTATTATTATTATTATTTCTTTTATTAATTTACAAAAGTATAAATTTATTTATTGATTGAATTTAAATAAAACCTTCTATAGTAATAAAATAATTCAATGTTGGTAGATTTTAATTTTGTTATTATTATTATTATTATTACTTTATAAATAAAAATATATATAAAATCAAAATTATATAAAATAAAATTATATTGAAATTTTAAAAAAATTAAATAAAAAAAAAAAAAAATTTTTAAAAATTTAAAAAAAAATTAAAAAAAAAAAAATTAAAAAAATTTTTATAAAAATATATTTTTTTTCCTTGTTATCACATTAATTTCTAATCAACATAATAAATTAATTGCATTTTTAAAAAAAAAAAAAAATAGAAATAATTTATCTTATTGTTTATATAATTTTTATTTATTCATTTTTATATTTTATTTATCTATTTTGTTTTTTTATATAATTTTATAATTTTTATAATTTTTTAATTTTTTATTTTTGATCATGCTTTGTATTGAGTTATATTACTAAATTGAATCCATTTTTATTTTTATTTTTTGATTGTAAAATCCCAATTATTATATTTTTTTTTTTTTTTTTTTTTTTGTTTTTCAATTATCTATTTTTAATAATATAAACACCAACATTTAATCTAAATTTATTCTTCTTTTAATCAGGATTCAGCCAATCTCAACTACCAAAATTAACAACATTTTTTCCATATATTAAACAAATAAAAATCTTTTTTATTTTTTATTTTTTTTTAATTTTTTTATTTTTTTAAAAATAAAAATAATTGTGCAGCTATCAAACCACCAGTTACCCCCATCCAACAGAGTTTGGCATTGCATTTATATTTAGAAATAATAAATTACAAAAAATGAAAATTTTTCAATAATTAATATCTTCAAACCCCCAGAAAATAAAAAAAATAACTTACACCACATAGCTACCTTACCCCCACAAACAAAATCAACAAATTTCAATACATAACCCATGAAGGGTATAGCTATTCATTAATCAAAATTTTGTTGTAAAAAACCTTTTAGCTGTTAATATTTTATTTATTTTTAAATATATTTTTTTAATTTTTTTTTTTTTATCAAATGGGAAAAAAAAAATATTTAAATCATTTTATTTACTAAAATCTTCAAAGATCAAAAAAAAAAAAAAATTTTAATTTTTTTTTACAAATAATATTTCTATAATACATATACAACATATACATATTTATAATATACATTTACAATGAAAAAGTTTTTAATAAATATATTTTTATTATTAATTATTTGCAAATTATCAAATTCACAGATACCAACCGCAGCTTTATGCACAAATGACCCAAATATTATTGAAGGTGGTCTTAAATGTAATGGTACAGGTGACTCTTGTGCATTAGGTTACTATTGCTCAAGTAATAAATGTATGAAAACTACAGAGTTTGCTTCAGCTTGTCAAGATGACTCAGAATGTTCACCATATTATTGTAATCAAGGTAAATGTGGCAATGCTTATTTTGCAATGTAGGTTTCTTATAATGTATAAAATAAATTTAAATTTATATATATATATCTAATTTCTTTTTTTTTTTTATTTTTTTTATTTTTATTTTTTTTGCAGTGCTGGTGAATCATGCACCAATGATAAAGACTGTATCGGTAGAACACAACTTAAATGTGTAAGCAATGTTTGTAGTCTCCCAGAAGGTGCTTCATGTACCCAAGCCAATGAATGTGGACTTGATAAAAACTGTAAAGACTCTAAATGTACAGCAGCCTCCAAAGAAGGCGATGCATGCAATGACCGTTATGATTGCCCAGTAAATTTAGTTTGCACCTATTCAAACAACGATGCTTCATCAATGACCTGCCAAAAGCCATGGACCAAAGCAGTTGGCGATAAATGTGATAATTCAGTTGATGCTCAAAGAATTCCATTTTTCTATGACTGTGATATCGGAAAGAATTTATACTGTGGTGCCAAAGGTGTATGTGTTGCCGACAAACCATCTGAATCATGCACAAAATGTAATGAGGGCACTGCTTGCTCTGGTTACAGTGAATCATGTGTTTGTAATAACCATGGGGTTTCAGCCGAAGTTAACAACACTGAAAAGTTTGGCGTTTGTGTTCCTCAAGTCTACATTACAAACGAATGCAAAACAACATTTAATAATTTAATCTCATGCTGTGCTGAAAATAGTTGCCCAATGACCCAATCTCTTTTATTAAACCAAGGTTCTTGTGCATTCAAAAAATGCAGTCAATATTCATGTGAAATGAGTAACTGTTTCCGTGCCACTGGTGAATATAACATGCTTAACTTGGCCAAAACAGCTTGCAAATCATATAAATTACCACAAGATTATACCTCCAAATGCCCAACCTCCAATGATCAACCAAATCACTCAAATTCAATGTTACCATCAATTATTTTCTCGATCATCTTTGTTTTTGTTATGATTATCCTCTCATAAAATAATAATTTTACAATAAATGCTTTATATAAAATTGTATACACAATTTTTTTTAAGTTAATTACTTTAAAAAATTTTTTTAAATTTTTTTAAATTTTTTAAAAAATAAAAAAAATAATTAATAAATAATAAAAAAAAACAAAAATCTTTTTCTCAAACACTTTAGGGTTAATAAATTTTTAAATTTTATAAACAATAATAATTGAATGGATAGTTTAATAAAAGGCATTTCTAAAAAAATAAACCTAAATAAGGACAACGATAAAAATAATAATAATAATAACAATAATAACAATAATGAATCTCTTCCACAACTATCAAATTTTTTACAAAGTCATATTATAAAAATATTTTGCAGACATATAAATTATGTAAACAAATCAATTTATTTTACAGGTATAATGGACTATAGGAAAGTTGAATTCGAAAACAATCATTTAATTCTAAAGCTTGCATTGGTATCTCGTTTTTGGTTTAACACATTATCCAATAATATTACAACTTGCGCAGATTTTAATTATAATAGTAGATTAACAGATGCTATATTTCAAAAAGCACGAGAAACAATTAAAGGAGGCGCAAAAATCGAAAATGAAAATGATGAAAATGATGAAAATGATGAAAATAAACTTGTACCATTAGGAAAAGATATTAGTTTGTATTGTGGTGATAAAGAATCAAAATTTTCAATTATCAAAAGGGACAATATAGAATCAATAAAATTACATTTCGATAGTTGCGAAACCATTTCATCGTTCTATAAAAGAGTCAGTGACACTATAGATATTACATATGGCGAATCTCCTTCAAAGGTTTTGCTTATATTAAAAGAAGATTTAAAAAATTTAAAAAGGGTTATAGTTAGAAATTTAAATTTATTCTCAGATTTAAATAGAAATATTTTTGGACCCACTTTCAGTAATATTCAACTTATGGAGTTTGTTATATCACCCAATGCCAATGTAGAGGCAATAAAGTCATTTAAAAAAATCAATTCATTGATAATTGGTACATTTCCGATATTTCGTGAAGGTGTTCTTCAACTTGAACAGAATAGAAATATCATCAGCGACTGTATCAAATGTATTTCGGGTATGAAACAGATTTTTGTATATGCAATAGCCGGTGTAGATTATTTTGGGTTATCTGGTTATGCCGAGGAAGAAACAGAGGATAATACTAGGGCCTTTAATATAGTTCCAATCACCGGGTCAATTAATTATTTTAAAGACATAGAGGTATTTGAATGCATAAACTCGGTAATGACCTTCAAAGATTTATATTGTCTTTTAAAAGCCACACCAAATTTAGGCACTCTTTCAATTGGTTTTTGTATCGATGGACTATATTGGCTTCTTTCTGAAGAAGATGGGAAACTATCGGAATGCGAATGCTGCCTCATACCAACAATTAACGAAAAAAACGAAGACCCAATGTCAAAAGAGCAATTTCAACATTTGTTTTCAGATATTTGCGATCAATTAAAATTAAAAACTAAACTTACCAAAATCTTTGCACATAATCAATGTTCAAACCCATTCATTCCTTTAAATGAAGATAATTATAAAAAATTTACTTCATTTTCAAAAAACTTTACAAAGTTGTTCTTGAGCCCCCCAAATTTAATAAAAATTGGCCTATTTGGAATGAGTAAAGCCGACTATATCAATGATATCCTAATAACTAGTAAAAATAGAAATATTAAAGAATTTTCCATGGATATAGACAGAGAAGACTCGGCTCTAGAAATAGTTAATCAAATGGAAATACTTACAAAGCAATACACCCATATCCATTCATTAAAAATATACAAAGGAGCAAAAAAATATTTTTCTTATAAAAACAAAGAAATAAAATAAAAATAAAAATAAATAAATAATAAAAACCAATACTATTTTGTTTAGATAAATTATATATAATTATTTACCCATATATATTGAGAAGCGAAATATTTATCCCTAGTTTATAACTGTAATGATACAAAAACTATGTATTCTATAATCCAGGGAAATATATTTAGCTCATCAAATTATATAGATAACTCTTACAGAGAAAATAATTATAATATTAGTTACTAAAAAAAAAAATAGAAAATAATAAAAATTATTTTGTGCCCTGATAATGAAATAATAAAAAAATAATTGAATGTTAAAATTTTTTTTTTTTTTTTAAATAGTGAAAAGTGTTTGAAAAATGGCACTTAAAAAAATTTATAATTTTTTATATCTTAAATATTTAGTATACATATAAATAATTTTTGACACACTGTAAAAGGGATATTTGAATTTACTCACCCGATAGTAAAGAGGTGGTAAAAATTAAATTAAAAAAAAAAAATTAAAGAAAATATTAAAATATAAAGGGATAGTGTTTTAATGATCTATATTCATTTATTATACATAATTCCCATTATTTAATTGATAGTTTATATTATAATTTAATACAATGAATCCTAATTTGTAGTTTTATTTAACACTCATTTGAATTAAACCCGTATAAAAATTAACAAATGGTGTGTTAGAAAACATTTTTTTTAATTTTTTTTTTTAATAAATAAAATTTAAATATAATTTAAATTGTGGTTAAGTGTGGTTAAGTGTGGTTAAGTGTGGTATTAAATCCTAAACAATATATCTTTTGTAAATGTAGCACAGAATAAATCAATTATTCTAATTATATAATTTGTTGCATAGCTCCAATTGTTAAATAATAAAAGATTACCCATTAATAAATTAATGGGAAAAAAAAAAAAATATAAATGATAACAACCAGTTCTTTTTAATTATTACCCATATTAACTGATTTGTTAAATTATTAAAGTTTCTTTATTAATTGAGAATTTAATAATTACATTTTTTTTTTTCAAATAATTGGATCTATTATAATTAAATAATTTAAAGTGTTCCCGAAAAAACAAAAAGAAAATAGTAAAATATTGTTAATTTTTAAAATAGAAATGAATTGTTTATGAGAGTTTAAAATAAAACAGTTTTTTTTTACACCGTTAAACACCAAAAGAAATATAACAATAAAAAGAAACATAACAAGAGAAAATACAAATTTTTTTTTTTTGATCACTTTAAAAAATTTTATATGAAATTTTTATTTGCTATAATAATTATTTTTATATTTTTTACCATCTTCTTGTAAGGTTACGATTGAGTCTTTCTAATTCTCTATTTCTTTCATCTGCTGCAGAGGCAAGACGACGATCCATGTACATTTGTTCTTCGTGACGACGTTCGGCTTCCCAACGATCTTGTTGTCTTTGAGCTAAATCAACCTTTCTATTATAACGTTCGAGAGCTTTATCTGGGGTAACCAAAAATTCGATTTTATCTTCAACTTCGAGATCGTGTGGAGCATTATTAATGATTGGACCAAGATTGACTACAATAAGAATATGGTCACGTGATGGTGGGTTCATCCATGAAGCTTTAGCCCAATCGACACCAAATTTATTACGATCGAATTCACTTTCGTTAACACGACTATTACCATCTACAACAATAGTATAGGTACGAACATCTTTAAGTGCATCTTTGGCGGCAAAGTTTTCACGACATAATTTGACAAGTGGGTGAATTTGGGTATAAAGTGAAATGATATGTTTGAGAACTGGGAAATATTCAACAACAGCAAGGAAACTACCGTGCTCGATAATCTTTGACCAATCAATTGAGATATGAACATCCAATTCGACAGCTTCTTTAAGACGACTCTTGGCTTCTTGGAAGTGTTGTGGTTCGTTACGAGAGATATATCCTTTAACGATCATGAGACGAAGATCCATAGCATTTTCAATCTTTCTACCGATAGTTTCGTAATTGCCGGCATTTTCTTTAATTTTACTGAGTAAAACTTTAATACCAACAATAACTTTAATGGTTTTGCTAGATTTGTCATATGTGATATCTACACCTTGTGGAACTGAACCTGCGACAATAACAATCTTTGATAAGTTACTTTGTACATGTGATTTAACTTCACTGTATTCAACAACTCTACCAAATGCGTAGTTCTTTGATAATTCCATTGAAACTTGTTCAGAAAAGACATGAAGATATTCGCAATAGTTAATGATATTACAACTGAAATCTGGGTGACTGATGATCGATTCGAAATCTACAACAACTTCAACTGCTTTACCAACAGTAGCTGCAATAGCATTTTTACCTGGTGTATAATCGATTCTCTTGGCAATCTCCTCACGAATTCTAAGATCTCTAAGTTTGAATAATCTTTCAATATCTAATCTCCACTCTTTGGTTTCTACTTTACATGCACTAGATAAATTGAGACCTACAACAAATTCTGTGCCATTAAAGCCAAATTCATAGTTTTCTTTTTGTCTTGATTCACTGTTAATAACAAATTTAAGTGTGGTCATTTGAGCTTGAATAGATTTCTTGATAGTTTCATAACTTAATAACTCTGAACTTGGTGTACTATCGATCCAGCCTTTTTGAAGAAGGTGAGCAAATGATGCAATAACCTTGGTGTAAATATCTTCCTCTAAATCGACAATGAAGCAATCGTTATTAATAAAACCTTCATAATCTACAACGACTGGAACTTGTTTACCGATGAGGGCACTAAATGATTTAGTGACATCCTCTAATGAGCCTTTGGCTTTTTCGATAGCTCTTTGAATTTTAAGTGGACGAGTTTGGAGCATAAGTTCGAATTGGTAGTTCCATGGAGTGGTTTTATTCATTTTAGCATCTCTAAAGTTAATTGTAAATGATAATTCACCATTTGAGAGTTTTCCTAAAGCAACTGGGTCTTTTGAACGTGATGGAACAACACGATTTTCTGGGTCGCAATTGATAATAATTTTGTTAACTTTTTTGGTGTATTCAGCCTTGACGATTGGGTCTTTGCATAATTCCAAAACACAGTCTAAACCTCTAGTAGTAATTTTAACTGCAACCTCATGAATGCATTTATATGAGGTTGAATCATCTCTAAAAGATGGAACATTTCTCCAACTATCATAGTTGACAACAACTGGAACATTTTTACCTGTAGCAGAAGCAAGCTTTTCGACAAAATCTTCGATGTATGGGAATGTGTCTTGAATAGCACATGGGAATGCAACACCAAGTGTTTCTTTAAATTGAGTAATTAAACCAGTTTGATTAAAGTGATAATTGGCGGCATCGTGGTAAGTGATAAAGAATTCCCAAGTGCTTGGAGTAGTGTTTTTAATAACTTCTTCTTTGTGTCTAATGATATTACGAAGAATGAATTGATTACATTCGAGGAATGCATTCTTACCGACATCATAGGAGCAAATATCACGAATTGAGTTGTTGAGAACTCTTGGGAAAGTGGCTGCAAGTGCCAAATTCTTTACAATGGAGCCATACATTACGACTTGGTTTTCGAGTGGCTCTTTATCGACTAATTGCCAATCGAAAATGACTGAGCTTGAATAGTCTTCGAATGGTGTGACTGGGATGTTATCCAAATAGTTTGGTTTATAGTTAACTTTAACAGCTGTATCGATCATTTCTTTAAGGGCTGGTAATAATTGATCACGAATAGTAACTTTATGAAGACGAGCAGTAATACAGTTTGTAAACTTCTCTTTGAATGTTTTACAACCCTCACTACGATCTTCAAAAGTGGTGATGATATTTAAAACACCATTGTCAAGCATTGCAACACTTCTTTTATCGAAAATGGTTTTACCTGGAACAGCTTGTGCGAAATTTACTTGGGTTATTTCTTTTAATAAAATTTCGATTTCATTTGGTGAGAATGATAGAATTGCTTGGAAGAAATCTGTTAAAATTTGATTTGTTAATGAAATAACATTGTTTTCAATATTTTGACCTTCATAAAATTTTACTGCAAAGGTAGCCCAATTAATGGAGGTACCACATGATGGTGTGAAAACCATACCATCCTTATTTTTAGCGCTCTTGTGGGCATTAAGACGGATATCAACTTCCTCTTTAACAATAATAACTGGCTCTGGTTTCTTTGGAGTTGGAACTGATGGACGTGATTGAAGAGCTTGAATTACTTTTGAATCCAAATATAAACCACAATTACCAAAATCTTCAAATATAGTTTGAACTGTTAAATGACCATCTTCGTAGAGGACCTTCTTTAATGATGATGAGGTACCTTGGACATGTTGAATTGTGACTGAACGAAGATACTCAACAATGTTATTTCTGTTGGCGAAATCGGTGCATGCCATTTTAATTGCAATTGTAACATCACGTAACAAACGATATAAAGCAAGATTTAAATTTCTAATAATTGTATTTTGTTTGACTGGTGATGGGTAAACCATAATTGAGGCCCAATCAACATAAATTGGAACACCAAATTCTTGATCCTTTTCGTCTACAACTTTAATTTGAGTGAGGAAATAATCAACTTCACGTAAATAAAATTGGGCATTAAATTCTTCAAGTTGTGGCTTAAATTCCATTTCTTGTCTACCTTTTGGTTTTGGTGGTTCTCTTACAATTGGTGCAACAACAACTGGTTGTGGTGGGGCAACTGCAACTGGTGGAGCAACAACTGGTTGTGAAGCATAATGTGGAACATAGGCTTGAACTGGTGCTGGTTTGGCTTGGTATGATGCAGGAATTGAATAAGTTGGTTGTTGTGGTTGTTGAGCTACTGCTGGTTGTTGAGCTACAGCTTGTGGAACCTCAGCAACTGGTGAGACTATTTTAGCTGGTGGGGCAGCACTTGATGGTGGGGCAAACTCTTGTAAACCAGATGTAATTTTCTTTTCAAAGTAATATGAGCAATTGAGTGCATCTTCGAATGGGACTTGGATGACTAAAGAACCTTCAGCTGAAAGGAATGCTTTTTTTGATGTGGAAGCTTTACCTTGAACATTTTGGAAAACAACTGAAACCATAAAATCTGCAATCATTGGTTTTCTAAATTCTTCTAATTTTTGAATACCTGGTAAAATTTGTTTACAAATGTTTGGAATATTGGTTTTCATTGATCTTAATACAGCTGAATAATCTTGACCTGAAGCTGAAATGCTTGACCAGTCAACACTAACTTGTAAATCGAATGGTGGACCTGGTAAAATCGAATTGTCAACTTTCATTGGTTTGCAGGCTGCAACAATTTCATGCTTAAGACCTTCCCATGCACCATTTGCATAAGTAGGGATTGAAAGATCAATAAAGGCAGCTGATGGAGCTGTTGGAATAGCCATTGCCGGTGTTGATGCAACTGCTGGTGATATGACTGGAGAAACTGGTGCTGGTTGGTAAGATGCTGGTGTTGCCAATGGTTGTGGAGCTGCTGCAACTGCTGGAGCTGCTGCAACTGTTGGTTGTGCTTCAAGGGAAGCTACTTTTTCTGGAATTGGTGCGCCTTGTTGTGGACGGAATTCATTTAAACCTGTAACAATTTTCTTTTCTAAATAATATTGGCAATTAAGGGAATCTTCAAAAACTGTTTGAATCTCCAAAGTACCATCTGGATAAAAAGTTGATTTTTTTGATGTTCCTGATTTACCTGGTACATTTTGAATAACAATTCTAGTTAAAAACAAATGAATATTTGGTTTATTAATTGCATCCATCTAAAATTGATAAATAAAAAATGATGGGTTCATTAATATATTTTTAAAATTATTTTGATAATTTTTTTTTTTTAATTAAACTTTATAAAATAACTACCTTTTCTAATGAGGAATCAACTTGTTTTAAGATATTTGTAATATTGGTTTTAATACTTCTTAAAACACTAGTTCTGTCACTTGTTTTATATTGTACAATTGAACCCCAATCAAAAAAGATTGGAACAAATGAAACCATACCAATTATATTTTGATCATATTTAATTTTAGTTTTCTCAATAATTTCAAAAATTTCTATGTTATAGTTGTAATAAAATTATTTATTATTAATAACAATTTTAAAAATAAAATAAAATGAAATTGAAATTAAAATAAAAAAGGTATAAAAATTAAAATAAAAAAAATTAAATTTACCATCTCTTAAAGTATTTTGGGCAGCATCTTGAAAATCAGGAATTGGTAATATTGGTGCCATTTCTTTATTTGATAATTTACAATAAATAAAAATAAATAAAAAAATATAAAAACTAGAATCTATATAAATACAATGTATAAAAAAAAAGTAAATAAAATGAGTAAAAGAAATGAGAAAAACTTTGAAATAAAAAAATTAAAAAAAAATTTTAAAATAATTAAATATAATTAAAAATATCTTTTTTAAACGTTTTGATCAAAAAAAAAATTTAGAAAAAAATAAAAATAAAAAAAAATATTTAAAAGAAATTTGGTTATTTCTTAAAATTTTAGCTTTTTTTATTTTTATTTTGTTTATGCATATTATTATTCGGTAATTTCGTGCCGCATGTGTCGCAAAATTTAAAGTAGAAAAAAAAATACTATGATATTATAATCGTCATTATTTTTATTATAATTATCTTTTTTATCAATTTTATCATTTTTATTATTTATTATTTTTTATTATTTAGGAAGTAGGTTTCACTGGTTGTTATATTTTGTCATTGTTACCGTAATTGACATTTTTTAGAGAAAATTGCAATAATAAAAAAAAAAAAATAAAAAATAAAAAAAATGGTTTTTTTTATTATGACACATCACTTTTTATTAATTGCGAAAAATTTTGGTTTATATCCATTATTTTTTTTTTAAAATATTTTTTTGTTAAAATATTTTTAAATTGTGTTATCTATTATTTTATTTGTGAATAAAATCAAAGTTGTAATTAATAAATGATTTCTGAAATCAATTAATTGAATAAATAAATACACACACAGATACATTATATATACATAAAAATAAATATTTGTGTCGATTGGGTATGTGTGTCAGATCTCACTGTTTTGTATTACTTTTTTTAAAAAAAAAAAAATATTTCAAAAAAAAATCTTTTTCATATTTTTTTTTCTTTTTCAAAGAGATTATCATAATATAGTATGCTTTTAAAAAAAAAAAAATGGTTTTAATTGTTGATGATGTGCGAAAGGAAAAATTAAAATTAAAATTAAAATTAAAAAAAAAAAAAAAAAAAAAATGATTTCGGTTTTTTTTTTCTTTTCTTTTCTTTTCTTTTTAAATTAAAAATTCACTAATAACAATAATAATAATTTATATTATTTATTATTACACCTTCATTATTTATTATTTGTTTATTTATTTTATTATTTATAATAATAATATTGATAAAAAATAAACAGTTGACTCAACACATTATTTAGTTAGTGTGCATATTATATTTATATTATATA